TGGCGTCTTTTTGTAAACTGCTAGAAGCTTAACAAATTTACCGTTGACGACAAGTTTCCGCTACCCATTCTGTCGGAAATTCTGGACAAATTAGGAATTCCCCCTATTTTTCAACAACATATCTAGCTAAAGGATTTCATCAAATCCTTCTTAAAAAGAGGATAGAAAAAAGTGTTTTCAACACCTCAGAGGTATAACGAATTTAATAGTATGCTTTTTGTGCTTAAAAACGCCCGACGTTTGAAAAAAAGTGCGAGAGGCTAAGCTAAAAATTCAAATAGACACATGCCTTTTTTTTGCAAAAAGAAACGCAGTTATTTTTGGGTATGATAGGGTTCTACCGTAAGTTTATCCAAGATTATGCCGAAATAGAATACCCCCTTACTAGAATATTTAAAAAAAGACCAAGTGGTAAATTCATATTATCCTTACTTTACACTAACCTTCCAACAATTCAGAGACAACCTAGTTTTCCAAAAAAAAAAACTTTTTAAATACAACGAGTAGGTTCTTGTGAATCATGCTGCAGCGGCAATATAAAGGAGCGCAAATTTGAGATGGGAGGGAGACTCAAATTCATCCAGCATTCACCCCGGTTGATGAACGTCTCGCCACAATCTGCATCAAATCGGATTTTTTCAACATATCTTTGATTTGCGCCCACTTCCCAACGGAAGAGAAAGACGGTTTGATCAAGGATGCCTTTTACGAGCGCCCCGAGTACCCTTATGAATACTGCCCCCGGTACGATGTCAAAATTGTGCATGGCTACTTCAACGCCACGGTGGCAAACAAGGTATCTACGGCACAACCGTCGGGAAATTCAGCATCCACAACGAAATATATTCAAATAGGCTGGTGCTGAACGACTTCACCAGGGCCTGAAATACGATTGCCTGTAGTACTAGATTCTAGCATAAGAAAATTCATCAAGCTACTTGGCAAAACCGGACGCACTTGCAGACAAAAAAGAAATAGGCTGAAATGCGTGAGTACAAGGGACTTGAGAAACTGGCCGACAAGGATAATGCTCGAAAATTCTACGAAAAGACACGGCAAAATGAAATACCCAGAGATGGTGAACTCGGACCCCCATCCAAGATGATGGAACTGACGTTCCATTCCTGAATCTCGCAAACAAGGCTCTATCGAGCGTTTTGTGATGGGCTTGGACCGGATAAATCAACCCTTGACCATATATTCATCATGCACCAAATCTTGGAAGAAACCCGTAAAAAGAGGACCGGCACACCTTTTCGTTGATTTTAAAGCAGCCTTCGGCAACACGAAAATAAGCTGCCTATATGCCGCTATGTCTGAATATGTTATTCCTGCAAAATCTATACGACTTTGCAAACTGACGCTGCGAGCCGTTCGGTACCGACTGAGGTTGCGAACAATGAGTGATTTATTTATACGTACGAGGTGTGACAATTAAGTAATGAGGCTGATTCCTTAAAAACCGTATATTTAAAAACTATTCTACAACTCTGCCATCATCTTCAAAGTAATCCTCTACGACTGGAATGCTCGCGAGTACCTTCGTCACTCGGCTCAAAATTTGTTGCTTTCGCCACCGATTTTGCTTTAGGGAACAGGGAAGTCATAGTGTGACATATCGGGTTGTTTTTTAACTTTTGACGTATTTCCTCATTTGTGAAAATGAGTACGTCGGTCGTGTCCCGCTTGATAGTGGCAGAATTGTACAATACACCAGCGTACCCCTTCTCGAACAACAAAGATTAACCCATCGGTCTCTTTGGAATATAAGCGATGATTGCATAGCTGGTACTCAGCTTTAATGGCGCTGTTCAAGGGTGATTTACTATTAAAAGTGTTTATATAAATATAATTGTACTCCAAGAGTTTGAGCCACCAACGAACTATTTTAAGTTTCAGTTCTCTCCGTCAGTTGAGTGTGGTACAATGCCTGCTAGACCAATGCTACTGGCATCACAATGTACATCATGTTGGTCATTGACATAGTATAAAGCAAGAATGGGTTTATTTATTAGCGACTTAATGAGAATTTCGACAAATTGTTGCTGTTCGAAACCCCTTACAAAATTATCTTGACCGGCTTTAGTTAATAAAGTGGTAAAAGGCTTCGAAATCAGAGAATACTCCGGAACAAATTTTCTGAAAAGCCCCAAAAGATCCACAGATCTTTTTACCTCGGATATGTTAGTTGGTCCTCTAAATCTCTTTATAGCGGCTACCTTCTGCATACCTGGTGTAATACCGTTTTCTTCGACGATGTGCCCTACGTTTTCAATTATTTTTTGTCGTCGCGCATCGTGAGTCTAGCTTCTTTAAGAAGTGCGAAAAATCGTTCGAGACGTAATAACCCTTCGCGCACAGTTTTACTTGGAATAATAAAACTTCACCTGTATTTATTTTCAATGTGATTTTGTTCATTATACACTGAAAAGTCCTGAAAAGTGTACTAAAATATTTGTTATCCCCAAGTTGAGCAAATTAGTCCTCCATTTTCGGCATGGAGAAGGTTGTTTTACCGTTATTTTGTTAATGCAGCGATAGTCTACACAAAGGCGATGTTCTTTGTTCTTTTTTCTACTAAGACAACAGGAGACGATTACGGCGATCCAGTCAGTCTGATTATATTGTTTTCTTGATATTTACTTATAATTTGCGATACGATTGGTCGCTTTAAAAATGGGACACGATATGGATTTAATTGAATTGGGAAATCGTTATTCAAAACAATTCAAAACAACCTTAGCGACTGAACAATCATTTCAATATTGTTAGCAAAAGTTTTTGAAATATTTGTTTTAAGCATTGTATTTATTTTGTGTGTGGAGACGTAGCGTACATCCAAGACCACGTAGAGTAGTTAACTCGTTTTTGAAGTTACCGATTTTCTCAGCAAATAATTTGCGCACAAGGGTACGTGAGCTTCCCGGATCGACAAAGGCCCATTTACACAGATAATTTTCACTATGACATTAAGAGTGTAATGGAGTGTTGTAAAGCTTCTGGGTATGCGGTTACAGTTGCGAGGCTATACTCGATTCCTACTCTTGAATCCACGTCGCGCACCCTGGAAACGTGAGCAGCCATTGGGCAAAATGCGGTAACTAACCCGTGTGGAGCCTTTGGTCGCGGCTAATGAGAGAGAAAACTTCAGTGGAGCCACTCTAAATTATTCGATTTAAGAGTTCTCTGAAGTCTTATTGCAGCGTCTGTTCACCAGAGGTGCGGCTGTGAGCGGGCGTTAGTCTTGAAGCCACCCGTTCGCTACATAAATGTATCAAACCTTTTATCTTACTCGGCTAGCGAAGTCGTCCGCTGGGCTTAAGACCCGCCAAGTAGAAACAAGTTCCAATGAAAAAATTAGCAACGCCTCGGATGAGATATCCCCTTTCTGTTGAGGACCCCCGCAGCCGGTACAATGAAGACTGCCGGGTCAAAGTATAGATACAAAAAGCTGAAGAGTGAAGCAATACGCATCTGCAGACAAAAAAAAAGCCGAAGCGTGAGTATAAAGAGCTTGAGAAGCGGGACCACAAGGGTAATGCACGAAAATTCTTTGAGAAAATACGGCTTACGAAAGGTTTCAAGACCGGAGCAGTTTCTTGTACATAATAGCAATCGCCTCCTTAAAAAACAGAAAAATGGCGGAAGCTGCATGCATCTGTTACTTTGCAAAATATGGTCGAACGAAAGCATGCATGACGATTGGAATTGAAGTGTGGTCTAACCAATCCATAAAAAAAGGGGACTCTACAGTCTGCACCCTCCTTAATATCGCGAATAAGGTCCTAACAAGCGTATTGTGTGAGAGACTAAAACCAACCACCCAACAAACTTAGACCTGGTAAGTCAACCATTGATCAGATGTCCATCATGCGACGAATATTGGAAAATGCCTGTGAAAAGGGGATCGACACCTACTACCTCTTCGTCGATTTTAAAGCCGCCTTAGACAGCAAGAAAAGGATCTGCCTTTATGCAGCTATGTCTGTTTGAAAACTGCAAAACTTATACTGCTTTGTAAACTGACCTTGAGCAATACTAAAAGCTCCATCAGGATTGAGAAGGACGTATCCAAGCCGTTCGATACCAAACGAGGTTTCAGTCAAGGCGACCCCTTATCGTGTGACTTCTTTAATTTGATGGCACGAGCTGCAGAGCTGAATATAGAAGGTAAAATATTCGATGATACTGACATTATCGACATCTACAACCGCGTAGTAAATTGTGCATTCTTCAGAGCACAAGCGAAGGCAAGACGAAATATATCCTGTCATAACACAAGCAATCATATCATTCGCGACTCAGCTCCCACGTTTATCTAGAAACCAACATCAACACCAATAACAATGTCAGCCTTGAAATACAGCGCAGAATCTTTCTTGGAATTTCGCATTGCATTCGTATGTAAATGAAGAACCTATATGTTATTCAATTCTTTGTACTCGTTTAAATAAATATAGTAATAATATGGTATTCAGTTATTTGTAGCTGTTGTAGTTGTAATTAAATTAACAAATTGCGTATAAGTTCTTTATTTCTATTTGATATCTTTAGCTCCATGATGTTCTAAATTTTTACTATTTCTTTTTACTGTGTCTGGTTAGTGGAATTCATTCAAAACATGCAAAGATCGGTTCTACTCGATTTTTCTTTTTTTTATGTCATATTCTTTCTTATGAATCAAGCATTATTTAACATTTACTGTTATTAATATATACACTATAAACTGTCATCTTATACATTCCCAACAGAACGGCGATTGTTTTGGGGACTAGTACGACTGCATCATTTCAAGGCTCCCGTCAGACTTATTTATTACATAATTATGATATAACCAACATATATTCGCATACAATTATTATTATACAAATGCAGAGATCCTATCAATTGGGTGTTTAACCCATATCTATTAAAGAAAATTCTACGAAACGTATATTAATACATAGAAAAAAGTTAAAATTATTTAAGTATGCAAATTATTAACACGACATCCAGTAACGGCTCTACTGCCTTGAATACTACAGTATTAGCAAAATCTATGGACACAACAACAAAATATTTAGATTCCAATGTAATTAAATATATACCGTCATCCCACGATGTTGCTTTTCCTTGTAATTCAGATACCAAAAAGGCAATATTCGTTTCATCGGAATCAATGCCCTTGCGGCAAATTACCCAACGGAGTCAATTACCTCTGACAAGCCCCGTTGTTTCAGCATCTTTTATGAATTTTCAAGATGTACAAAGTGATAACATTGTTTTAATACCAACACCGAACACATTGGAGCAATATCACCTGCAGCTCTATAACTATGCATTAAGTATAGAACGCCTACGATGTCCACAATACACTACAGCCGCTGCCATGTCCGCAGGATCATACGCTAACGGCGCTACAACTGATGTACATTTATTTGTAAATGAAGAAAATAAAACCACATTTGGCTCGGTGGAAGTGGAAACAGAAAGTAGTTATCCTAGTGCTATTGCAAAAGTAAGAAGTGGTAGACCATTTGCACCCACGACCATAACTCATGGCAACCGCTTAGCATTATCTATGTCCCTTTTCCCCCAACGTATATTTCACCCGGAGGAGCCAAAGCCTCAGTATAGTTACATCGGCCTTATTGCAATGGCAATACTAAATTCTGCTGAAACAAAGCTAGTGTTGGCTGATATATACCAGTATATTTTAGATCATTATCCTTATTTTCGAGCGCGCGGGCCAGGTTGGCGTAATTCTATACGTCATAATTTATCTCTAAATGATTGTTTTATTAAATCTGGGCGTAGTACTAATGGCAAGGGACACTATTGGGCTATACATCCCGCTAATATTGATGATTTTCGTAAAGGTGATTTTAGACGACGTAAAGCACAACGTAAAGTACGCAAACATATGGGTTTATCGTTAGACGATGCTGGTACTGATTCTCCAAGCCCCCCGCTACTCGATTTGAGATCCGCGCCGCTAACAGCTACGAATGTATTAAGCTTAGAACCGACAAGAAATAGTGTACCAACGCCAGGTTTCACAATACCTCATATCCCACAATCAATTAGTTGTTTATCGCAAATTAATCATCCGATCTTTCAAATGCCTTCATCTCTTGTCTCATTACCACACCACATACAACAACAACAACAACAATTTCAAGATCATTATTTTGGCGCAGCAATTATGGAACAATACACGTGTATACCGCCAGCAGCATCTTACAACAATCGGCATTCAATTGATATGCAACAGCAAGAGGATCATCATAGTAGCAATAATCAGTTTTACACCCAACTTACTAATAATAACGCATCACAATCACGGCCACAAGAAGAACTCAGTGACACCAATAAAAATTCAAAACTTTCTTTCATCAATCAAGCGGCTACAACTACTTCTATAACTCCGCACTCAAGCACGAATGCAATAGCACATTTGTATTCTCAAACTCGTAAGCGGCAATTCGATGTAGCATCTCTCTTGGCACCTGACTGCAAACATTTTGTAAATAAAGTTACAGCTAAAGATCAACAAATTACGACTTTGCATCATACGATTTTAAAGAAAGCCACACAAGAAAGTGGAAAGGAATGCACGCAGTATTTGTATAATCCAATAGATTCGGTTCAACCGGGGCAGCAACAATTTTTTACCCATTCGTCTTCACAAAACCAAATAATATCATCACTTGAGCTTAAGGAAAACTGCGAGCAAGAGCAAGATGAAATTGACGTTGTTGCAAATGATAATGATGAACATAGTAAGCATCGGTTATCTTCAGTGGGCAACAACAACGATAACGATGATGATGATCCTCACGACATTGCACTAGAAAAGAAACAGCAAAAACATACATTTGACATTGCCACAAAAATTAGTGCTTGCTCCTCTACTGTTGCACAAATTTGTGTGGATAATGAAAGTAAATTCCCAAATGTCGATACAGCTTTGCCCAAGAGTGCCGATATGTTAAGGAATCAGCAACCTTTGCAAAACGCTGTTTTCGAGTGGCATATGTTGCCAAGATTTCCTGTTAATCAACAAGATATGGGGGATTATTGCTCCACAAAATTTATATCTGCAACTACACTATCCATCCCTACATCGACTGTAAGACCATCTTCGCTTTCGTCTACCATTGATAATAACAGTGAAGAAAATCATTCTAAGCTCGGCAATTTCCATGAGGATCTGGACGCGCACAAACAAAGTTCAATATCAAAAAATAACGTTACTCAACGGAATCAGCATGTTCGACGCATAATACAACACCTACATCAGAAACAACAGAAGCAAGATATTAATGATGATGTCGGCAAACTAGGCAATGAAAAATCTCAAGCTTATGGGCTATATTATGATACTTGTATGGCAGCAGCGGCTGCTCGCCATATAAGTTCTCTACAGTTAGCATCGATCCAAGGTCAACGACATGTGAAGCTGCAACATGAAATGCAACAAAAAAAGCAGAGTAAATTTTGTCATTAACGTAAAATTTCTTGTAGCATAAAAACATTGAAAAATTAGTAAAATTCAGTGTTTAAAATTCTTTTTGTATGTATGCAATAAAGAAGTCCACATATCTCTTTGGTACTAACTAATAAACTGATAAATAACAATCTATTATTTAGCAAAACTGGTTTATTATATAAAAGAAGTGTAACTGCTCCAAGGTTTCATCTACAAGGACCGCTATCAACCCGTATTATAATCGGATTCAAGGATGAGGGGCGTCATGAAGCCTAATATGCACCTTATATCCGCTGAAGCTATTTTCTGCCAAGCTTCACAACTAATTTGTTGTTCGCTTGTTGAATTTTCTCCGCCTTGGTTGGGTCTGCCAACAGATCCCTAGAAAATTTTAATTTCCGATGAATTTCAGACTGACTATACTATGCATATTGCATATATGTGACTGAGCGCAGGTGTAAGTATTGAGAGGTCATCCGTCGGCTAGGTTAGCCGATAGATTAGCATTACGTACTGCCACTCGGTAAGCCAGGGTTCAATTCCTGGCCCGACCAGCAATCTAAAATTATAGAAAATTTAAATAAAAAATTTAGTTAAACTTTCTAATTCCGTCCGCTCCTCGGCAGGGGATGTCCCTCCATTTTTGGAAAAACATCAAGATGCACACCACATTATTCTCATATATATATATATATATATAAATGTAACTACAGTAAAAAATCCCAACAATAAATGCACTAATGTAGACTTTGCAAATCTTTATGACCGTAGTTCAGAAAACAAAATGAGCAGTGCTGTTCAATTCTACATGAATGCCTAACTTAAAAATTAACAATGTTCCCAAAACTCGATTGAAATAACCAATATTAGATTTAACGATTAACCGTATAAAGTTATTGTACTTTTTGGGGCTAAAAATATCTAAAATTACCAAAAAGTTATTCATTAATGCAGTGAGAATGAAAGTTCGGCAGAGGACAGATTATTGCAGCACTTATTTAATATTTAGAGGAGAATAGCAAATGCACTTTCACTAGGTATTAAAATGTTCGTTTTTTTTCTCATAAATTTTGGCATCTTTCATGATATTCTTGAAACGATCACAAGAGTTTTCAGTGGAATCACCTTGTCGAAAAATAAAATGTGTGAATGAAACTGTTTAAGCATTATGATTCTTAATATTGCTGTAGTAAAGATACTATTACTGTTATCTGAATATGATTTAATCAATTCCTGGGAAGCAAATACTACGAATCCAAATGACCAATTATTAATTTATTAGAATACAATATTTGAAAAAGACAAGCTACCGATTCCAGTATTCAGGATAAAATTTCGGATAAAATAATATATTATAGATACAAACGTATGTATCTGTCTGCAGGATAAACTTAATGTGCTAATCAAAATAAACAATTATTAATTTATTAGAAAAAAAAATCTTTAAATATTCTATAAATCGATAGTGTGAACAGCTATATTTTTTCAACTGAGTAGGACTGCAAGGGGAATTTACTTGCTACGCAAAGCACGACAGAGTCTTTCTGATGATATATATGGCAGGGCTCATGTCTTGTCAATCTTATATATGTACAATAGTACGACTAGTAAGGTCATATATGCATCTTTTTTTTTAGAGATTAGCGTGTACCCTAAGCAACTCTTTTGAGAAATAATAACCCCCAGAGATACAGAGCATTCAGCAATAATGTCCCGGAAAACGGCGTTGCTAATTTGACGTACCTAATCCTTTTCCGGAGGTGTGTTCGGCAGATTAAAAAATTACATACATATATCAAATATGGGGTTTTTTGCCAATTATTTGGTTACTCTTGTCAAACCAATTAAAGAATGTTTAGGAATTATATTTAGCTTATAATTCAACTATGAAATGGTGCTACTAGCATTCTCGGTAAAATGTAATTTAATTATTCGTGTGTACTTCAGTTAGCGTGGTTTACTATGTACATATGAATACATATATAAATGTATCTCGCTGGTGAGAATCCGATTTATAAAATCGAAACATATGAATATTCTATTGGGATTTCAAAATGCTATCTATAAGCATTTAATAGCACCAATATGAAAACCATGAATGTGTATAGATGCATATTGCAAGGGGTAGGATGGAAACTGTAATACGCTATTTAAATATATGTTTGGTTTGGAAGGGTAGATTTCTTGTATTGTATTAATCAATGAGGCGGTAGAGTCCTCGTAACAATACACCTAATTACTAATAGAAAGATTCTCATTCTTAAGGAACTAGCATAATTGCACATTCGTTTGTGATACACGCAAGCATCCCCTTATCCATTTATACTTCAGTGGTAAATTAGAAAATAAGCTATAATTTGTATGGCTTCTTTTAGGGCTTTATCACTAATTCGCTCTTGATAAAATAAATAAGGTCTTTAGGGATCAGGGAATAGCAAGCCGATTGTTAGCAGATATACGAATTATTTAGAAAATATGTAAATACGAGTGACAATTTAATTATAACTACAGCGATGCAAATCATTGATGAAATGTGTGGAAATAAGAAAGCAAATAACCAAAAATGAGTTTTTTTGAATTTTTTGATACAATTTTGGCATTGATCTACCTAGTAGTATAAAAATAAAAAGCATAAATAAATAATAATTATGAAATAAAAAATATTAATAAAATGTAGGTCACTACAAACATCGTAAGTACTAAACAAATTGAAGGAGGAGCTAGACAGAAAAACGTTTAAGCTAAATATTTATATCAAGCACTTATAATAAATAAGTCAAAAATATATCATTGATTGTAATGTTGGTATAACACAACAATGTTGGTTGCTTTTTAATTATTTTTATTTTTTAATTTTATTACTGATGAATTCACCCACATGCAATATATATGGAATATAAGTAAATTGCAATAATTAAATTTATACTATGCAGTTTACATATTTTCAATGAACGAGATTATTCCCAATTAAAAAATCCTATATTGAATATGAGCTAATTGTAAAAATAATGAGAAAAATTTTGTACGAAATAGTTGCAGGATTTATGTTCACCTCATTCCTTCAGTAAGTCTAATAATGTTAGGACTTGCCGCCATAAAATTAATTAAGAAACTACGTGAAGAGCATACGGTTCTATCCTCATTCTTACTTTGGTTTCATATTGCCCTTGAAAACATTGATACAGTAGACCTGAAGGTAATAAAAATAAATACTAAATAAATACTGCCGCAACTCGCCAAAAACATAGCATCCCGTTATTGACTTTTGTCCCGTAAAAACCATCGACGATTTGATTTTTTCCGTAAAACTGACTTAGCTAATTGCTCGTTGTCATTTAAGGTATTGACTTTTATAAATGATATTTAAATAATCTAAGAAAATGCTATCTTCTTCTTTGCATTCTGAAGATCAACTCGAGCTGTGTGCAATTTGGATGTTTTTATACTCTTCTATACACCGATTTAAAAATCGATCTGAATGACGTTAATCGTAAAATAAACGAAATAACATAAACAATATTTACTAATAGACTAACATATCAACCCTTTATCAGAAATGCTTTCAATAGTATTGTATACATAGTATCTCAAATATTTTATGTGTAACGCAATATGAATATAATAAAAACAGACCTAAATAGGACAGTTTAAGAAATAAACTCAAGAGTATGTGCGTATCGTGGTCATAGAAGTAGAAAAATATATTATTTTATTTCTCATAAACAAAGTGGCATCAGTTAACTGGGGGCTAAATTGGTTTGACTCTTGACAGCAGCCAATATCCTTGAAATACAAGATAATGAAATAAAAATTCCACGGCCTTGAAGAAAAGCATAAAACATATCTCTGAAAAATTGATATATACTTTTGAAACTGGACTGACGAAATGAACGCCAAAAGATATTTAATTAACCCGTGTAAAACCACAAAACAATGATATTGCAATCCTACAAGCACTATAACACACACAACTAAATGTGAACACAATGGAATCATAGCTATCTTTCCAGGCGACCAGTATGAAGAATTCGCCCCGAATATCACGGATACAAATCAAATTAACTTTCACCGAAGACTAAAACCAATGCACATCCTGGAGGAATATATAAACCAATTTTCAAATCATTCGAACAACTACACAACCATTCAATAAAAATTATTGGAGAAGTGGCAGACATATTTATTAATTACAATACCAAGCTGAACTTTTACTCTAGAATCAATATGCCTGTCTACACGTATACTGACCAGCGACCAAGAAGAAATGAAGAAAACTACACAAGGAAGTCGTGGATTGTCAGAATTCTAAACTGAAATCAATGATCCTCGCATTTTCCCAGGTAGGATGTCAGGAGACCAGGGATCTGCATCCATGGCAGAGTACACAAATCAGGGTATGTACATTTCTCACAGAACTCAACAGCAACCCAAAGGATGTAAAAACTGCATACATATGTAACTGCAATAATATAATATAATATAATAATAATATTCCACGATAATGAGAATATGCAGTTTGCCGCACAAATTACACCACAATGCTATGGGTGAATGCGTTCCTTTATTAAGAAACTACAGTTAAAAGAAGGTAAGCAAACTTGGCCAGAGGTAAAAAGCTACAATCATTCGCCCAGCACGCTGATGCCACTTACGAAACAGAAAGGAGAATAAACGGATTGGCGTGTGCCCAAAGACGTTGCCAAACGATAGTATGTCCGTTAATATTTTAGTTGACTCAGGTGCAACATATATTTAAATTAGTTCCAAGTGTAATATAAAATAAGAAAATTATTACATTTTTTAATCACAAATTATTATTTTTTGAAACTGAAGCTTTAGATGAGTTCGACAAGCTTTTAGGTGAAGACGGTATTAGAAATAAGAGAGCAGAAACTAATCTTTTTGAGTAACATCCTACGTCAAAATACAGGAAGAAGTTAGTGAACAAAAAATAAATTGCACAATTAACAACGATATATATAAAACTGGAAGTCATTATGAGAGAAAATGACGAAACT